GCTGTTACAGATAATAAAATGTGTCAAACGAAACTTTCATGGTATCCAGGAGCATACAATTTCATGTGAATTTTTTGACAGGTGGACACGTAGAGGTCATATGAAGGTCGCCATAGTTTCTCTAAATGGAAAATATACCTTTTTACGTACCTTCATGAATAAGTATTGTTAAAATAAAATAATATAGATATAAACTCCGAAAATAGAATCAGTTTCAACAACCTGAAATAGCATTGCAAACGGTTGTCTGCAAAATACCTTTTAATCACAGTACATCCTGAATCGCGATTGCATTACGTGTGTAAACAATCATAAAATTAACAATTTCCTAGTTCTGTCGTTAAAAGTCGAGGGCGTTGAAACACAGACAGTATGTATACATAAATCTACAGTTCAGATGAATCGTCGTGTCCGGCTTCGGGAAATCAATTTCGTCGATTCGTCGAACGGCTCCGATCGTCACGTCGATCGGTAAAAAGATTGAAAAAGTACACTCACCGAATGTTCCCTCTTTTTTTTTTTCTGTCGTGGTACAAGGGAGACCGAGCTTCCGATTCTCGACGGGAATCACAAGACAACGGCGCGATCAGATACACGAAAACTTCCGTCCTCCAGAAAAATTACAAGCCACCGAGAGGGGTTGGGGGATGGGAGGCCTGGGCGTGAAAAAGATGAATCGCGGCGAAACGGCGGAGCCCTGTTTTACATGCGATCCAGCCGATAGACTGCATCCACGGAGGAAATAACTCCGGGTATATGGCGTCGATAAAAGTTCCGTGGCGGGCATGCTAATGCATTACAAATATGCTCACAATACGAGCCGAGCCGACGCGGGGCGCGTTCGACGCATAACGGAAGCATAAAGACGGATCACCGGGAACGATAAAAAAGTGAAGAACGCGTTTGAAATTACGATCCCGTTGGTCGTCCGAGCAGAATCCTGCAACTGACATAGACCACAGTCAGGAAGTCGGCGATAACCATTGACAATTGTTTTCTTTTCTATTTGTAACCGTTGATTATGAATGTGGCCGTAAGTCGAAGAACCAGAAGATTATGCTCTTCTCTTATATTATGGAAGAATTTTCAAAACGAAAAGTACACGACTTACATATTCTTTAGTGACAATATTTGAAACATTCCTTTACTATCGACAGTACGGAACTTCTTTAAATGACATCCAAGTATTAGAAAAACGGTGTTACTGTGACTATTAGTTTGTTATTTATCCCTAGCAAACACATGGTTTATAGGTAACAACATTTTTCTTTAATGTTTTAAATAGTCTTGAAATGGCTATTTGGTTCTTGATTTTCTGAGAACAAATTTTTTTGCACAAGGTACCAAAAAGATGCAGTAAATAAATTAAATAAATATTAAATAATTTAATGTAAGATAATGTAGAATAATCTGCATCTATGGTAGTAATACTAAGTCATGATACAGTTGGGATGTCTCGATGTGATTATAACGAAATGGACAAAGTACAGTTATAGAAAGGGAATAGAGTAAACCATCGATGAGTGTTCGAAGGCTCTTCAGCACGAAGTGTTCAGACGTCATCCCCACCACTGGGCGCATGACTGGGTCCACAAGGAGCTCCCAGTGGTGGGGATGACATTTGAACAATCAGCGCCAAGGAGCCTCCAAACATTCATCCATAATTTACTGTACTACCTTCATCTTAGTGTCTTCTAACTAATAGAAAGAATTGATATTAAATATTCGTACACGAACCAAACCTGGAATGACCCATCCTAAATACAATATCTTCCACGAATCGTAACCAGCATCTAAGAAAATTTAATTTAATCTAGCAAATAAATTAAATAAATAAAATGTTTCGTATTCTCATGTAAAGAACTTCGAGATACCAAGAACCAACGATGCTCCCGTGCAAACAGCTTCAATCCATCCCGGATAATCATCGCAACGATCGTATTGAACTCCTCTCGTTACGATGAAAAATCCGCCGTTCATCGACGTGGCCGAACGTTCCCTTCGTATTGCGCGTCGACCGTTATCGGAACTCCTGGAAAAACCTTCCTCGGATGACGGGAGAGGGATGAAAAAAAAAAAAAAGAAAATATTATTGTAATCGCCGGAGCCACGTCCGCGTTTCGCACAAAGACACGACGCGACGCTCGGCCGATTTTCCGGTCGGCCAGCTGGTTCTCCGCCCCGTATTGACTTTCTCTCATCGAGATGCACCGGAATAAAGCGAGGGTGGAGAGGCATTCGATTCCGCTCTCGGCAGAAGCGGTGGAAAAGGGAGAGGGGAAGGGCGCGGCTATTATTACAGGCTTTTGGGTCCAATAACTCTTCGGCTCTCACTTGTTGCTGGTAGTCGTCGCGGCGAAGGGCATCGCCCTTTTACACGATTTTTCGCCGCTTCGAGTACATACCTACCGGTATGGATGGAGGACGAGGGAAGAAGTAGAAGAAGAGAGAAAGAAAAAAGGAACGAAAGATACTGAAGAGATCGCCTCGGAATAGATGATCGAGCGGAAACGAGGTCGAGGCCGAGGGCTCGATCGCCTACAGGAACCGCTAGGAATCCGTGAAGGACTCTTTTTAATTTTACGTCCTCGCACCACCGGGAAATAAAAGTGTTCATGTACCGAGAACGTTCCACGGTTAAATGAATTTCCACGACCGATGCGATGTATCCTCGGTAATCTTGTTTTTTTTTTTTCCAGCGGGCCCCAGTTCCGTGGACAAACAACACCGAAACCTTCGTTCCTTTGTCCCCGTGAATCGCTTCGCGACATCCGTTCGGTTTGCGGTGCTAGGATTCCTTTGAGCGTAAACCGCGTTGCTCCTGGATCCCAGTTTATCTGTGTATACCCGTATTTATAGAGGATGTTCAAGAAAAAACGCCATTCAATATTTATATGGTACGTAGGAAGACACGTGGAACACTTGTAAATATCGGAAAGCCAACGGTTAATCAATCATGTTACTAACATGAAAAAATGTTTATATCCAAACGATTGACTATTCGACCTATCTTTACTAAAGTTTTCTTACTCGTTACAGTACGTTCTATATACCATATAAATATTATAATGGATTTTTTAAACACCCAGTATATACATAGGAAATATGCTTGGGACCTTAATTGTTTCATTAAATCAATCAACTAAGTGACGATATCGTCGTACATTTAAAGATAACGATTACAATTAAAACCGATGGCTATCGTTAGATCATCGGTCACATATCACAGATACACACGTATGACGCAGATTCACTAGATAAATTCAATTCTCGTTCGTAATTGTGTAATTCGTTCACCTCGTTATCGAACAAAATCAACCCCGCGTTTATCGTTCGTTACAGCTGATTACGTAATGTCTCGTCGTCCAGGTAACAATTTCCGTTTGTCGATCACGACGGTTCGAACGTCCCGCCTGTGTTTATTCGTAATAACTAAATGAACGCAATCGGATGTATAAAGGAGGAAAAGTATTGGAAATAGTGCCAACGATGGAATATCGAAGTCAACGCCCGACGAAAGTTGTTCCACTGTTTGACATCAGTATTCCCCATTCAACGGTAATTACTTCGATTAACCGAAGCCGTCGCCGGGAAGACGTCGAAACGGCGCGACTTCGTTTCCAACAGGACGATGGGAACGAGTATTTTATATTTTCCAGTCGAACGGATCCGAACGATTACCGGACGGACGCGTCGGGCGGGGCCGCGCTGATCGTTTCCGTTTTCGTTGAAATATTTAACGAAGGCCCCGGCTGATCAGCGGGACGGGTGGAATTAATTTTTCAAAGAGGCGGATGCGAAACGCCACTTGATTCTCCTCCGAACGTAAATGCCATAAAAATTCCACGGGTGCCGGCACTCGATATCCAGTCCTCGATATCGCTATCCGGACCATCCATACAAATCGGATTTTACCAAATTGGAGTACAATTTTCACGAGCGCGCGTGTACACCAACGAAAAAGTGAGAGGCAGTGGTATCACGGTTGGAGAAAACGAGAAAGAAGGAACGGACAGTAGAGGAACTAGAAGACGGTTCTAAGTCGGTTGCGGATGATGAAGCGAATCAAGTAACCGTGGTGGCCTACGTGCGATGCAGCCCTAAAAACCATCGCCCCCGGGGAGCATTTCCTGGAAACGCGTTAGCAGCGAAACGTCTGTGCTTAGAATTTTCAAGCGCCGTCTGAATTACATACCTCCACCTACCCCGTCTCCCGCCAAACCTTTACCTTCCCGTCACGGAACCAATGGTACCTGAAAATACGTAAGCGACGAGCGGGGACGATGTTGTTCGCTCGGTGCCTCGGCTGCTTCACCGGGAGTTTAACTACTCGCCGGAATTTTAATTTATTCCCGTCGGTTGTGTCGGTAGAACGGAAGCCCGGGCTGCTGACAGATTGTTAGAGGCGTTTCTCCCGCTTGTTCGGGATTAGAAGACACGTTCCCTGACGAGAATTCCTGGTTTCGGGAGGTAGGGTGAAGCGGAGGGGACTGTTACGACGCATTTCGATATTCCGTTTATGTCACCGCGTTTGATAACGATGGCGCGAACAACGTTGGCTTGTCGGAGAGTAGGGAGGAGAATGGGGTACAGGAATTTTGCATTTAAAGGCTCAGACGTGTTGCGATATGTAGAGCAATTATTTATTAAACAAACAGTATCGCGTCAGGTACAATTAAACACAGAAGGTGGATACATCCCACGTTTAATCGAACGTTAAGACTCGGCGTAGTTCGTTAAATCGTATTCGAACACTTTTACCAGGCCTCCTATAATTATATCCGAGAACACAAATGCACTCGTACATAAGCGTACTAGACTGAGACTCGTGAAATGGATTTGGCTAGTTTAAATGATACACCTTTTAAAAGATCACTCGTTAATAGTCGTTGATTAGGTATGAGTAAATACGCCCTGATTTCATCATTGGTATCTACCTAGTATTATATCATAGGTAATAACCTATCATAGTAATGCATCATTGCGGTGCATTCGTTGATTCAGTCTGTTAGTGTTGTCCATGTAGGTGTAGTTCCAGTTGGATCCCATGTACTCGTTGATTCAGTACTGCTGCCTGTCGTTGGCCATGTAGGAGTAGTTCCAGTTGGATTCGGTGTACTCGTTGATCCAGTACTGCTGCCTGTCGTTGGCGATGTAGGAGAAGTTTCAGTTGGTTCCCATGTACTCGTTGATTCAGTACTGCTGCCTGTCGTTGGCCATGTAGGAGTAGTTCCAGTTGGATTCGGTGTACTCGTTGATCCAGTACTGCTGCCTGTCGTTGGCCGTGTAGGAGTAGTTCCAGTTGGATTCGGTGTACTCGTTGATTCAGTACTGCTGCCTGTCGTTGGCCATGTAGGAGTAGTTCCAGTTGGATTCGGTGTAGTCGTTGATCCAGTACTACTAGTTTTCGGCGTAGTAGTTTCCGGAATCGTTGTTTCTGGGATGGTTGTTTTCGGCGTAGTAGTTTCCGGAGTCGTTGTTTCTGGGGTGGTTGTTTTTGGAGTAGTAGTTTCCGGAGTCGTTGTTTCTGGGGTGGTTGTTTTTGGAGTCGTCGTCTTTGGAGTAGTGGTCTTCGGTGTTGTCGGCTGCCCCGTGGTGGTTTTCGAGGGAGCAACAAGGATGATACACTTTATCGCAATCGGCCAGCTGGGTAATCCAATTGCCTTGACGAGAACATGGTTTGCTTCAAGGCCACCACTCTCGACTCTGATGCTCACTGTCAACGGTCGTGGAGTTGTCACGCTGATCAACGATATTTGGGTACCGGGTGGAGCCCATGCGTTGCACATCGCGATCTGTGGTCTTCCTATTATTTTTGGCTGAAAACGAAATAAATTGGCCCGGATAACACAACAAGATATGATCCTAGCAATTATATTAACCGATCGAAATTACGCCAATGCGCATGCCCTTACCTTAAATATCACACGGTTCACAATTACTCTGTCACCGAGTTCTCGTTCTCCGATGACTAGATTGTTCGCCCATGCGCAGGCGACCAGTGACAGACACGTAACCAAAAGAATCACGTTGCGCATCTTGGCAGGTGTGGTCGAGCTCTCTGAACCGGGTAATGTCTCGCGTGTACTCGCGCCACTGATGATCTACCATCCATGTGATCACGGTATATCATTTATAGCTCCTCCTTATCAATCGTCGCGGACGATTCGCCGAAGAGTCGACGGACCATGTTCCCCCTCGAAGATGTCTATCATCGGACCGTGACAACGATTTATGTAACGGCATTTGTCTTGAATTTTTCCATGTAGCTCGCGAAGGTGAATAATACAATAATGCAGTCGATGCTCGCAATGTCGATATCTTTTCTTTCTGGTTCTATGGAACCGTGGTGAAATTAATCTTAGGAATATATAGCGTAGACCATGAAACTTGATCAACTTAGATAATTATACTGCTATCTGTTTGATCGACAATTTTTTTGCTCACCCAACCATCAGTGCAGACGTCATAAATAGAACTAAGCAGTCGTTTCTTAACCGTTGACGCGAGTGTATTGTTGCTCATGGACACCATTTGGAGCATCGTTTTAATTAAAGTAAATTATATTTTCTTAACGTTTCTTTGGTTCAGAAGAAAAAAATTATTTGTTATAATACTTGTCGAATTCGTCTCAGTATTCGCTAAAAGATGGGTGTAAAAAATCGTAGGTCTATCTATACAAAGCTGAAGGTGACCTTAAAAACTCTCGAAAAAACGGGTTGACAAAAAATTTGGTAGTCATCTTAAAGCTCTCCTTAAATCATGTTATACCAGCAAACAAATTTTCGATCGAACAGCTAGCAGTAGAATAACCGAAGCTGATCACTAAAAAAATACTATAGAATAAGCCTTGGAAAAGAATGTTTCGAAATTTTATCAGGGTCTACGGTCTATTATTCCTTTGTTCCTGAAAATGAAAAAAGAAGATAGTTTCACTTTCTAATTCATCGAACTCGTGTTATCTTCTTCAAAATTATGAAACAATATGCGGTTGCAATCTTATCAAGTTCCACTATCAGTTCTTCTTTGCTGGTATCCGACACTGCGAAAAGAAATTGCCACCAGCACCAATTCCAATAATCCCTTCCTTTCGAGTCCTCAAAGACATATTTTATCGTGGGAAGTCTCGCAAAATTCCACTCGTGTTAAATTAAGAAATCGTTCCTCTAACAAACCACGATAACACACGTAGAAAACAACATTCCATGTCTCCCGCGATGATCGCGAAACATAATGGAATATTTCAGTGGACTCATAAAATAATCCATCGTTCTGGAATATAAATATAAACGTTTGCTCACGATCGATAACCGGAACGATATCAATGCAAGAGAATGACGACAGGTGAACCTCTTCTCGGTATTATTACAACGCATATTATTTCTTTACAGAAGCTATATAAATATAATTCTGTTACCCTCAATTTTTTTCCGAAAATACTAAAAAAAAAAAAGACGAACAAACAAAAGGAACAAGACAAAAACCAAGAACATATTTGCTTCGCAAGGAAATCGAGTCGCCGCGTCACATGAATCCTTTTTTTACCGTTGAAATCGTTATATTCGGCCGAAGGTCGAGGAAGCAGGAAACCGTTGTTCCGATCCTGTTATTACGTGGCGCACGCTCAAAACGGTCGCTTGCATAAATCTCTGGAGAAATTACAGTGCACCAGTCGCAAAACAGGATTGTGTGGCCGCGCAGAAAGAAAAATCATTTCTGTACACCGTAGCCCCACCGTGTTCCTTTTCTACTTTCTCTCTCTAATCGGTTTTCATTTTCCGCGGGCGGCACTTTTCAACAATACAAACACACACACAGCAGCGAATATCGGGTCGAGCGTTGAGCTTTCTGGCTTTCAGAAAACACGGAATAAATCTTTGTTTTAATAAGTACTGCCCCGGTTTTCCAAGCCATTCGACACTAAGAACCGAGTACCCGGACCCGAATAGATTACAGTATTTCCTTTGGGAATATTTTTATTACATATTTGTTCTTTGGGGAAAAAGGTTAATTCATAAGTATGTTAATAGGCTCTTTTTGTCAGTTTTTAGGAATCATGTAATATAAAAATGTTTAGTGGAACGTACAATCAGAAAGGTGCTTGAACATTACCTGTATATTTATTTTCAAAATATTATTTGCGAAGTCCTAGATTATTTTGTAAAATCTCTTATTGTCCTACCGTGTCCAAACTGTAGTGATCCTTGTTTATCCACTGCTCTCGATCGAATTAAGGAAATTATGACAGGGTTTATAACGATTCTTTGTCATCTTTCAGTTTTCAATCCAATTTTCAGTGAATATTATCTTAAAGAAAATATCGACTACTTTCTCTGAATCAACATAAGATTCTTGAATATACTTCGTTTATTACGATGCAGTAAATAATAATTTTACAAAAAAGGCAAGAATTAGAACGACAAAACCGATCATTTGATCGGTCATGGTAGGTTTACAACAGTTTATGCCTGATTTACCCTATCATTTCCCTAATACAATCTGACTGTCACACAGTTAGTCGACGGTGTTAATGCTCGGTGACGGCTCACGCTCGAAATATTCGATCGAACGGTTGCGATCGATCGATCGGTACATGTGTTTCGTTAAAACCGCAAGGTACAACGGGAGCGCTGGCTCCATTTCGCATTTTCGTTGATTAATTTCGAACCTATGGCCTTGGTCGAATACGAGGACGAGCGGTGTAATGACACGTGCGCCGCGAACGTTTCCATAAACATGTCACCGTGGTAGCGAATTAGAATATCGAATATCGATCAGCGAACACCCCGCGCGGTCCGGGCGTTTCGCGTCGAGTCGAGCGTGGATAATTAATTCAGTGCGGAATAACGTTTACATCACCGTGGGAAAGTTATCCTTTTTGTGCCAGACGTTGTCCCGAACGGCGTGAATCGATCGTGCATTCTGGCGATTGGATCGGAACGAAGAAACATAGACTTTAAAATAAAAACAAAAGCGGTAGACTATCGAAGAGACATCACATGTGCGTTGAATCGGTAAGGATCGAAGTAGATTCGAAACTCGTAGTAACTAATTAATTAGAAATTACTCTTTTGCCAGAACCACCTTTCGAAATAAGAATTAAGTTAAAATTAATCACAATTATGTATCTAGGATTATAGGTATCATCAGTGTTTCTAAATTTAGCGAACAAAATTCGAGAAGGTCCGTTATATTCCATATCACGTAGCTACTTTATACATTTTTTTCTACATCCCCACCGTCGCGAACCGTTGATCTATCACTCCATCAGATTTTACGCGTTCGATGCATTTATATGCACCGCACTCGGAAGCTTTTCCGTTTCCCATCCGACAAAGTCGGGCGCAGTGCGTCATCCCGAGGCCCCAACGACAAAATTTTCCTATTTTTCCCACGCGGAAGAAGAGAAACTGCGACGATAGAAGTCTCTAGCTGGAAGGGAACGTGTCTCGAATTTTCCCAGCGATTCGATCAATGTCATCGACTCGCGATATATCTCAATCGGGGCGACCCAATTCTCGGAAAATTGCAGATTTCCTTGACAAATGCGAGCTATGTCGTGAACAAAAATAAAAAAAAAAGAAAAAAAAGAAAGAATGAAATAAAACGGAGAACGGCGTAGGGGAGGCGCGTATCGCGAGCCGATTTTCGCAGTTCGAGAGCGCGATCCATCTTTCGCCGCCGTCGCGAAAAATCCGTCCATCACGTGGCGGCGAGTTTTTAATTACCAGGGCACCACGGGAATAATGATGACGAACGACTACCGCGAGGCTGTATCGAGGCTCGATGTCATCGAGAGGACCCCTGCTGTCTCGTAAAACCCGACCAAAGCCCGATGATTTTGCTCGATAACCGGCGGTGTATGATCGATTTTCAACGCGGTTTGTAAAACCAAGTAATTTATTTACAAAACCTTATCGACTGGAGGAAAAAAAAAGCCTATAAATAGCCGCCGCTAATAACTCGATCAGATGACACGCGATATTAATCGTTTCTGTCTCTTTTCAATCATCAATCAGCGTCTAGCGTTCTGTTGATCGGTTTCGCCGATGATATTCCGATATGTACGTGTAATCTCGCTAATACCCGCCGAACCGTACTGAACATGTGGCGAACAACAGCGCGGAATTGGTATATATGTACCCTAAAAAGGATTAACTAATCGTTTAACCTTCCTGGACCTCCCTGTAAACAATTTGCGTGCAGATGGGCAACAGATTGGCAGCAGATATTGATAAAATTTGTCTAGAAATCTATAGATATCTGTTTCTGTATTTCGCTTGGGTTTTGCAGGCGAGATGGGCGCAAATTATTTATCACAGATCTTCCATCGAATCTGTAGCCATTCTGGTTACAAAAGCTTGTATCAGGCATTGGACAAAATCAGACGTGCAGGTTTGGTTGACTGGGTCGCATTTTGGTTCCACATACCGAGCAAATCGGAATTCGTTTGGTTTTTAAACAATTTACGCTCTCACGGTCTCTATAGGCCGTCGAAGGAATAAATGAATATTTTTCGGAATTATTTTCTGTATTTTTCCATGCGATAATAATTCCCGAATAAATATTAAAAATGTATTACACGAATCTACACGGAAATACCATATATTTCAATTATTTAAAAATCGGTGTAAGAGTCCAACGCGGGTCACTATGCATAGACAAAAATTAACGCGAGTCCAGGAAGGTTAAATCGAAAGTTCCTCCAATTAATACGCACCTGTACACTATCTCGAGAACCGAGCCTCGATATCAGCCTCAGTGACGGTTAACTAATTTCATCGGCCATGTCCACGATACACGAGCACGTCGATCGACCGTTCTCCGTCGACCTTGAACAGCCCATAGATCCCCCCCGAGAAAATCGCAACGTCACGATGGGGCTCGAAAACAATTGCCGGTGGGCAGGGATAAAATCCTCTGACGATCGATCTGCCGAATAAAATCACCGTGTCACGGCCTGACGATCTCTTCTTTCATTAAGCGACGAGGCCATTTCACGCACGGTTCCCTAATTACCGGTCACGGGTCGATGAAA